GGACCTCATGGCTGCCCCCCGCTAGTCCCAAATCTCACGAGCACACACAGCCTCAAACACCCCTCCTGGCCCTCCTTCCTGACCCCAAATCTCCCTCACAGCCATGTCCCACGTTGCACTGAGCCAGCCCACGCCTGCCTGGCTTTCCTGTACCGCACAGTCCACACAGGTGGACGCAGCCCCTTCCCTGAGCAGGCTGCTAGGGAGGCAGAGTGACCGTCCCTTCTGTGCCCACGCTGAACCTCAGAGAGGCTCTGGGTGCCTCTGGTCACTGGCCGGGCCCTGTGTGCTCTGCAGCCCCGCCTGGCCAGTCCTCTGAGCCCTCGCGGCACCTGCAGCCCCACTCAGGTGAAGTCCCAGTCCCCTCCTCTGCCTGCCAGCCATGGCTTTGGGTGCCACTTCCACAGAGCCTTCCCAGGCCCCCATCTGGGTCATGGAGCCTGTGCTGACACAGGCCAGCTGGGAAGAACTGTCCCCTGAGCTCCCTGCCTGGGAGACTCCCTCCAGGGCATACACGCCTCCAGAGTGGGGACCTGGCTGCACACTTCTAGTGGACACCTGGCGGTGTGCACCAGGAAGTAGCCCATCAGCTCGTGCCTCATGCTCAGATGCGATGTCAAAGCACAGATGAGACTGCTACTAGGGGGTCCTTCCAAAAGGACGACTTTGGGGAAGTCACCTCCGAGAATCTCCTAGTTCAGAAAAGCATGTGGGGTGGGGGACAGGAGTGGGCAGAGATGGCAGAAGCCCCGCCACAGCCAGGCGGCTCCTCCCAACCCTGGGGTGGGCCTCTGCACCAGTGCCACGCTTTAGAGCTTGTCTGAGGTGACCCAGTGTGCCCTACACCAAGACCTCAGGACCCAGAGAGAGCAGGTGACTCCCCAGGTTCACAGCAGCAGTGTGGGGCAACAGCCCAGGCTAGAGTCCCGCCTCCCGGCCAGTGCCAGGTCCCCTATGTGAAGGTCACAAACCCCAGCCCTGGGCCCGTCCAGCCGCTGCCTGCGCTTGTGAATAAGGTTTTAGGGGCACACAGCTGGGCCCACTCCTCCTCGGACTGCCCACTGCTGCTACCCACAACTGCAAGGGCTGCGTGCTGGCCACCGAGACGTGGGCATCTGTCATTCAGCCCTCACGGCTTCCCCTGAGCTTGCATGCCCCTCTCAGATCTGTTTCCCAAATTCTGTTCCATGGCACCCCGGTGTTCCTAGAAACATCATGAGCTTCACAGAGAGGGTCCCCAGGCCTGAGAGCGCCACCGCGTCAGGCAATGGATCAGTGAGTGCGTGAAGTGGAGGGTGAACAAGCCAAGCACAAATCGACATGAAAAATCCCCCAGGTCGGGTCACACGGTCCACCCTCCCCCTAGGGATCCCCTAGAGGTCCCCTAGGGGTCCATGTGGGAAAAGCCCAGCCGTCGGGGCCTTTGTTTTGCTTGGCCAGGCGCCTCTGAGACTCAGTGGAACCTCTGCTGTCCCAGGACCTGAGAGTATCCCTCTGCACACAGGGTCCAGGGTGTGGGCCATGCCTGGCCCATTCTCTCCTCCTCGGGGCGGAAGGGGCGACAGAGGGCAGGGAGAGGAGTGAAGGAAAGGAACAAAGGAAACCCCGCCAAGACAGGCGGTCTCAGGCCCCCAGCGGCCCCAGCACTGGGAGGAGGCCCTGGGCTCC